TAAAAATAGAATGGAGTTCAGTCACCCCCAAGAGTTCTTTCATTCCCTTCTGGAATCACCTTCCCCTTCTCCAGCCCCTGATGGGGGGGTGGGGATGGGGGTTCTGTTCTCTGTCCCTATAGATAGCCTTTTCTAGAATGTCATGTGAATGAAATTGTGAAGATTTTTGAGCCTGGATTCTTCCACTTTGCATGATGCATTTCAGATTAATCATTTTGCATGCATCAGTAGCTCTTTTCTTTTTTTTTTAAAGATTTATTTATGCATACAGTACTGGGGTACAGGCCAGAGGTACAGAGGCAGCAAGAGAATTCACCAGAGACAGAGTGGGGAACAGAACAGGCAGATCGAAGAAGTACACTGCTGAGGGGAGCAGCGGGCGGGTCAGGAGAGGTCTGCTGCACCGTGTGGGTCACTTCCGGGGCAGGCAGGGATCGAACTCATGCGGAAGTGGTTTTAGCTTCTCAGTGCTGTGCCTTAACCTGCTGTGCCACCAGGGAGGGCCCCCCGCTCATTTCTTTTTATTGCTGGTAGTATTGCATTGAATGGGTCCCCTGCTTTTATTTCCTTATTGATCTGTTGAAGAACATTTGGGTGGTTTCTAGTTTAGTACAATTACGAATGAAGCCCAGAATCCTAAGGCTGGCTTTTGTGTAAATTTAAGTTTTCACTTCTCCTGGGGTTGCTGGGTTTTGTGGTAAGTACACATTTAATGTCACCAGGATTTGCCACGCTCCTTTCCAGGGTGTCTGCACTATTTTGCATTCCCACCAGCAACGTAGGAGAGTCCCTTTTGGTCTAGCTCTGGCAGAATTTGATATTATCAGCTGTTGGTTTTGTTTTGCCATTATAATAGATGGGTAGTGATATAGCACTGTGGTTTCCTTTTGTTTTCCTCACTTCAGAATCACACTATTATCTAACAACTGTGAGGCAGGCTCTACAGATGGGTTCCTCTGACGTAGGTATTTCTTATGCTTCCTATCCAGGCATCCAGAGTCTCTTAAACTCCATTTCTACATTTTGGGACTTCCTATTTAGGAATTTGGCTTCCCTGATCTAGGAATCAGAAGCATGCCTCCCTGTGGTTCAAGCATGTGTCTTGCACTCCGTCAATCAGAGGTACCCACATGCTAAAAAAAAGAACCAAAAACCTTATTTTGTAGAGACAGAAAAGTGCAAGAGTACAAAGGATCCCCAGTAACCATTTATCCTGAGAACTGTCTGCAGTGGCCGGTTCCTTCCCACTCGCCCCCTCGCTGCCATTATTTTGCAGCAAAGCCCCAGACCGTATTCCATCTGTAAGTATTTTGGTACTCATGTTGGGATTTAATTTGGAAGTGAGTGAAGAGAGGCCCTCCCTGGTGGCGCAGTGGACAGGAACTCAGCACCGCAAGCTGGCCACAGTCACTTCAGTGTGACTTCAGTCCCCATCCTGTAGCTGACCCACATGGCAGCAGACCTCTCCTGACCGCCCGCTGCTCCCCTCAGCAGTGGATTTCAGTCCATGTGCCTGTTCTGCTCCCCGCTCAGTCTCTGGTGAAGCCTCTCACCGCCCCTGTACCTCTGCCTGTACCCCCGTTCCGTATGCGTAAAGAAATAAATCTTTAAAAACAGAAAGTGAGTGAAGAGAGAGGAGGTTTTAGTGTGTGAGAGGCTCCCTAGACCCCCAAACCTGTGGTCTCCAAAGGGGGGTCTAGACATCTGTGTGCACAAAGACAGAGCAGATTCCTAGTGTAAAAGAACTTTCACAGAATTAGCGTGACGGAAAGAGAGAAGAAGAAAGGATAATCACCCTCTGGTCAATGCTCAGCCTGACAGTAACCGCCTGAAGCGGGCAGCCGAGTCCCTGACTCTTGACTCAAGTCCAAGGCTTTCTGGCGGGGAATCTGAGGAAGGGCGTGAAAGGGGCCAGACAAGTCTGAGACAAAAGAGCAACATCAAAATACAAACCCAAATAACAGTCGCCACTTCCAGCCTCCCCACGGTCTCTCACCCCTGCAACTCTCCTCCACAGTCTCCTTCCCAGAAGTAGCCGGTGCAAGAGGGTCATGAAAACAAGCGTTTTCCCCTTTCTTCTTCCCCCAGAGCCCACCTGCCTTCTGTGTTACGTATCACCTGGTCTGGGCCCTCCCTGGTGGTGGGACAGGTTGGGGCACAGCACTATGAAGCTGTCCTCAGCATTCAATCCCCGGCCAGGGAGTGACCCACATGGCGCGGCAGACCCTTCTTGTCAACAGTGTGTTTCAGTCAGTCTGCCTGTTCTGCCCCCCACTCTGTCTCTGGTGAGTCCTCTCACACCCTGCACTTCTGGCCTATACCCCCAGTTCTTGTATTAACAAATAAACAAATCTTTAAAAAATACACAACAAACAAGATTTATTGAGCACCTACTACATGCACTGGGGATACAATAGCAAACAAGGCCGAGGCCCTGCTTCTTGGAGGTTCCATTCTAGAGGTCACGGCAGACAACAAAAATGGGAACACATAAATCAGAATTTCAGGTATGATGACTACAGGAAGAAAATGAAAATGGCGATGGGAAGTGACTTCTGAGTGAAGTGACTCTCTGTGAGAGTGTGCTATTTGAGAGAGAGATGGAGGATGAGAAGGAGCCAGACTTTGGGAAAAGCACCCCAGGCGGGGGGAACTGCAGGACCCAAAACTCCAAGATGAGAATGAACCTGACTTCCTCAAGCCACTGTCTCTGGAGCGGGGGAGGCCTGAGTGCTGCCAGACAGGGGAGGGCAGGACTGTGTGTGAGCCTCTGCGTTCACGTCCGTTGGGTAAGTGCCTCCTTGGGTGGAACCCCTGGGTCTCTAGGCCAGTGACTTTCCCTGTACAAGACCCGACCCCTCTCTTCTCCCGAGTGTGGTCCTGTTCTGCATGTCCACAGGCAGCAGGCTCCGTCGTCTTTTCCATTTTATTCACTCTAGTGTGTGTACTGAAGCCTCACTGTGGTTTCAACCTGCAGTTCCTTCACGACCGATGGATGGTGTCCTGTTCTCTCTGCACCTGCTGGCGATGCAGACCTCTTTTTTGGATAAAGTGGCCGCTGGGTTCCTTGATTTTCAAAAAGCTGCCTCTGACCGCTGTGTGGGTGGGCTGGGGGGCAGATTTGGAAGCAGGGGAGTGTGGGGAGGGGCTGCTGCTTCTCAAGGAGGTTTGTCACAGGCTGGGGAGATGGCCCTCTTTCTGAGAAAGTCCTGGCTGCTGCGGGACGGGGTGCTTGGCGGGTCTGGGGGCGAGGGTCCAGTCACCTGGGTACCCTCCGTTTCTTTCTTCACCATCGAGAAGGACCTCATCCATGCTTGAGCCCATGGGCACACAGTCGTGCCAGTTGCTGACATACTGAAAAACTTCACTTCTGATTGGTAAACAGATTGGTAAACGCGAATCCTCGGATATCCGCCACCACCAAATCTGTTCCTTGGGACATCTTGGACTTCCTGCGTCTCACAGCTCAAGGGAAGCTTCAGCACTGTGCCCCGGCACTGGGCTCACATCTGTTCCCGCTGGCGGTGCCTGCCAGGACCTGGCGGGAGCTGGGCGGGTCAGATCCAGACTGAGGCTGAGGCTGAGGGGTGTTGGAGGCAACGACAGAATGTCCACCCAGTTTAGAGTGTGCTGGCCAGGCATTATTTTTTAAAGGTTGATGTATTTATGCACACAGAAACTGGGGTGTAAGCCAGAGCTGCAGGGGCTGAAAGGATTTGCCAGAGACAGAGTGGGGAGCAGAACAGGTGGATGAACTGAAATACACTGCTGAGGGGAGCAGCGGGCGGTCAGGAGAGGTCTGCTGCGCCATGTGGGTCAGCTCCCTGGCCAGGGATTGAACTCTTGCCCAGTGGCTGCGGCGAGCTTCATAGTGCCGAGCTTTAACCCATTGCACCATCAGGGGAGAAATTCTTTTAATAGACCTCAAAAACCCTCACAGTGAACTTCCATCACAGCAGCCCTCCTTCTCCCCTCCCCCCAGGTCCCTGGGACCCAGCCAGAAGGAACCTGAGAATACCTGCCCCCTCCCTCAGCCAGTTACCCCCCCACCCCCCATCCCCCTCCCCACCGGCTCAGGGCCTCCCTGTGTCAGCTCCCAGCTTACTGCTGTGGCAGTTAAGAGGCCTGGTGCCTACCCACTGGCAGTTCTGAATGCCAGGCCTGGTGGTCTGGGCAAGGTTGCTGCTTCTACCAGCCTGGACCAGGCCTGGCGGTCTGGTGGCATTTATAGCCAGGGCAGCCAGGCCTGCAGACTCCAGGTTCCTGCAGACTCCAAACCCAGTCAGTGTCCACCCCATGACAACATCCAGTTTCCCCTTTTTTCTCTGGAGCCCAGGCCTGGGCAGCTGTGGGCCTGATGGGGGAGGAGGGCTTCCTGCCACTGACCCATCCCCCCCACCCCACGCGCCCTAACCTCAGGTTCCTCCTTCCCCAGCCCAGGCGCTAGCTTCGCTGAGGCTTCGAGTCCCTTTCTCCTCCCTCAGTCCCTCTTCCAGCCACTTCCTCATTTGGTGAGACACATGGCCCCACCCAGCGGCCACCACACTGTCCCCTCGCTGCCGCACCCACACCCGGTTCCAGTCTGTGCGGGGCTCTGGGTCTCTGTCTGTGCCAGGCCGGCGTTTCTCCGTCCCTTTCTCTCATTTTGGTTCATTTTTTTCTTCCCCTCTAAGGGTCGCTGGAGCGTCTTTGGAACCTGGGTTCCATTTCCACGCAGCCTAAGCAGTGGAAGCAATGGGAGATCAGAGCATCGATAGGAGAGGGTCAAATGAGTGAGCCAGGGAGCGCCTGCCCCTCCCTGGTGCCCACATGCTGACGCTTTCTTAATAGCCACCCACGTCTGCAAATCCTTAGTGTAGGTGGGTCTCCTCACACGCTGACAGGTGTCTGACCCTGTTCTAGAAATATGAACCATTTGAGTCCCCAACTCCCTACAAAGGCGGTGCTATTTGAACTCCCCATTTTACAGATGAAGAAACTGAGGCCCAGAGACGCTGAGCGACTTGTTCGAGGTTGTCCAGTCAAGAAGAGGCAGAGATGGCTTCGATCGTGATCAGTCGCAGACCGTCCTGTGACAGTGATGTCTGACTCCTACTTGGGGATGGAGGTCAGGTAGATGCACGTCCCCTTTATTCTTCATAACCACCCGGTAGGGGCTGCGTCACAGCTCTGGGGTGCCTGGGTCTGGCTCTTTCTGGTCTTAACTGTCTTTGTCCCTCCCCTTTCGTCCCCTCCTCCCAACTGCCGGCACCCACATCAGACTTCCTCCTTCACTTGGCTGGACGCCATATCCCGCTGACCCTTAGACTGTGGTGTCCGGCTGCGTTGTCTGCATCATGGGGGGCCATGGACCCTCTAACAGGCTCCTGATCCTGCCTCTCCTCCTGACTTTGGCTGGTGAGTAAGGGGCTCCTGCGGCTGCCGCTAGAGCCCTGGACTCCCCCTTGGGGTAGAGTAGCAAATAGGGCGGAAAGAGAGAACCAAAGACGAAGATCGAGCCCAGCCCCACAGTGCTCAGACCCACAGTGGGGCTCTGCCCGAGCCTGAGCCCCCAAGATTTGGCCTCTGGTAGAAGCAGGGGGAGGAGACGCTGAGGATGTTGCAACCGAACAAGTGGCATCAAAGTCACACCCCGTCCCGCGGGCCTCGACTCCGGCCACAGGCCCCGCCAGACCTCGCCCTTCACCTGGCTGGGGGGACCCCCGCTTCCCAGTTCCTGCACCCACGTCCTGGTCGGAGGGAGCGCTGTGCCTCAGCTGACCTTCTCTTTCTCTCCTCAGATCTCAGCCCTGTCCAGGCCCAGAAAGGTAGGCTGAGGCCCTGCGGCTCCTTCCTTCCTCTCCAAGACCTCCTTGTCTCTGTCGTTTCCCCAATGTCTCCACACCTCCTCCTGCTCACCCCACTCCCGATGCCCCACTCCTACTGGCCCCGCTGACCCCTGCCACATTCCCAGAATGCAACTGCTCCGTGGTGAGCCCCGGTGTGCTGGCGGGGATCGTGCTAGGGGACCTGGTGCTGACGCTGCTCATCGCCCTGGCCGTGTACTCCCTGGGCCGGCTGGTCCCTCGGAGCCGGGCTGCCGCGGAGGGTGAGTGGGGCAGGCGGGGGGTGGCCCGGGGGCTCTGAGGACTTGGCCAACAAGGAGGGGGTCAGCTCCCGAGTCCCAGTTATCCAAAGGGACAGTGGTGGCGGGGCTTTTGCAACAACAAAATGGCTCCGACTCACCACCCTGTCTGTCTCTGCACCTTGCCCATCCTCCCCCAACAGTGTCCCGGAAACAGCGCATGGCTGAGACAGAGTCGCCATATCAGGTGAGGAGAGCAGCTTCCGCGTATCTCACTCCTGTCCTGTGGGGGTCTGTCCTAAATAACCCCCAGTCCCTCCAAACCTAGGCCCTACAGCCACTTTGCAGGCAGCTCTCCAAACCCTTGAAGGCAAGTGGGCCATCTGTCCAGAACTGGGCTTAGGGGCCGCTCCTGACCTGATGCTCAGCTTAAAATGTGACAGGAAATTTGGGCTTGCTCTGCTTTGCCAGAAGGCAGGGTCTGAATGGTCCTGGAAATGGCTGCTCAGAGCAAGCCGATGCTGGCAGGAGCTAGCCAAAGGGCAGAGGATGCAATTGCACCCTAGTTCCTAACTCCAGAGTGGGGAGGGCTCCTTCAGCCCCTGAAGAAGCTGGTGGAAGCTAGGAATTGCTACATCAATCCACCTAAGAAATACAAAATTGTGGGCTTTCCTCCTGGTGCAAGGGTTTAAGTCTTGACACTATGAAGCTTTCGGCAGCCACTGCAGTGGTGAGTTCGATCTCTGGCCAGGGAGCTGACTCACAGGGCGCAGCAGACCTCTCCTGTCTCCCCGCTGCTCCCCTCAGCAGTGTGTTTCAGTCCATCCGCCTGTTCTGCACCCCACTCTGTCTCTGGTGAATCTTCTCAACCCCACACCTCTGGCCTACACCCCAGCTCTTGTATGCATAAATAAAAAAATCTTTAAAAAAGAAAAGAAATATTTATGTATACAGGAACTGAGGTACAGGCCAGAGGTGTGGGGGTGAGAGGATTCACCAGAGACAGAGTGGGGAGCAGAACAGGCAGATGGACTGAAACACGGCTGCGGGCAGCAGCGGGCGAGACAGGAGAGGTCTGCTGCGCCCTGTGGGTCAGCTCCCTGGCCAGGGATCGAACTCGTGCTGCAGGAGCTTCAGACAGCTTCATAGTGCTGCTGTTCAACCCCTGCGCTACCATGGTGGGCCTGCATAAATAAACCTTAAAACAAAATAAATACAAGATTGTGCCTATAATCCTTTTTCTTTTAAAGATTTATTTTATTTATGCGTACAGAACTGGGGTACAGGCGAGAGGTGCAGGGGAGGTGAGAGGATTCACCAGAGACATAGTGGGGAACAGAACAGGCTGACTGACAAAGTACACTGCTGAGGGGGAACAGTGGGTGAGACAGGAGAGGTCTGCCGCGCCATGTGGGTCACCTCCGGGGCGGGATACAACTTGCACTTCAGCGGCTGCAGCGCTGCGCTTTAACCTGTTGTGCTACCAGGGAGGGCCCCTTGCCTATCATCTGAGGGGAGTGCAAGTACTTTGAAGCCATTCTTAAGAACCACAAAGCAGATGGAAGTCTAGATGTCAGCTGCACTGTCCTTAACCCTTTTGGGGATCATGGTCCCCTGAGAAGCCAAACAGGCCCCTCCCCAGGAAGAGGCACACCCAGACTGGGTGTGTGCATGAGATTTTAGGGACCCTGTCTGAGGCCTGCCTCCCAGGCGCAGAACCTCTCACCCTCCAGTGATGGGCCCTGTTGTGTGAAGTCTGTTTGCTTTATCAGCAACCAGCTTTATTTTACCTCACCTGTGGACAAAATGTCTCTCTGTGAAGTGTAAGAATCATGAGAGTCTGGCTCTGTGTGAGGTCCAGGACACTGAAGGGGCTTTGCAGCTACAAGGAGGCAGTGAGATTTTATTTTATTTTTTAAAGATGTATTATTTTTATTTTTTAAACAATAGTTTAGTGTTACATCATTTTGTGCCCTTTTTCTGTCTCAGTTGTTAAATATTTATTTTTTAAAAAAACATATTTACTTTTTAATTTTTTACATCACTCTAAATTTTGTGCATTTTTTTCATCTTGGTTGTAATCCCCATGGGCTTCCCACCAGCAATTCACCTGTGACCCATCTCCACAGTCCTGTGTGCTCTTCCCACCCCAGTTTTCATCCCATTCCCCTTTTCACCCCCGTAAAATGTCTCTGGTTTATAATTGTTCACTTTTTGTTTGTTTTTACTTTATTACAATTGCTTTTTTTTTTTCTTCCTGATCCCTTATGCTCCTGCTATGAGTGAAACCATCCGTATTTTTCTTTTTCTTTCTGGCTTATTTCACTAAGCATGATCCCTTCCGGCTCCATCCATGTTGCTGCAAAAGGCATGACTTTATCCTTTTTGATTGTTGAGTAATATTCCATTGTATATATGTATCACATCTTTTTTTTTTTTTTTTTAAAGATTTATTTATTTGTGCATACAGAA